CCTAGCCGTCCTGTCCTTTTCATTACCTGACCAAAGTATGAAAAATCTCGCAATGTTAGAAGCTGTGATAAGCGGGATTGCCTGAATTTCCTTAAATATAAGAGAGTTTCTACTGAACCAGGTCCACCAACAAACACAGGGCAACAAGTTTAGTGTTTTTAAAACTTGTACATAAATACCCTCAATTATGCAAACTTGAGGGTATTTTTTAAAAAAAAGTTTAGTGTATTTAAGTGTCGGATTTAAAAACTTTGTGGTACTTACATAAGTACCATATTCAAAAACTTTAGGGTATGCAAGTGCTACAAAAAAAAGTGACAGTCCATTAGTGCATGAAATGACTACATAGTCTCATTGATTTACGAGATTATAGGATTATATGGCCAATTCATGTTGATAAAGTCACATAGAGATTATATGGATAATTGATCGGTTTTACAGCAAGTGAAAAAAGTGTAAACTTTATGTTGTTATTTGGTCTTATTGAAATTACGGAGTGGTTTTCCGAGGAAAATGCGTTCTTGATCGTGATACTCGACCCTTTCGGAGGTCGGATGGATGAGATACCGGAATCTGAAACTCCTTTTCCGCATAGAAATGGGAGTTTGTACAACTTGCAGTACACGGGTAAGCATTTGAGTTGGATGGAGAGATTCTATGAGTTCATGGCTCCCTATGTTTCGAAAAATCCTAGAGCTGCTTATTATAACTGTAGAGATTTGGATTTGGGGAGGAATGAATAGGATGTTGGCTCACAGGATGGTTAAAAATTTTGGTTATTTGCATATATACCCCTTAAGTCATGGGTATTTGCGAAACCACCCTCCAAATATCAGTGTTTGCAAAACTACGCCCTCAAATCATCAATTTTTAAAAAACTTGCATACAACTTTGATAGGCTAATTTATGATCATAATATAAAAACTATTTATGAAATATTCAAAGTTCTAGGACCAAGTCGATGATTAGTTGATTTTAGGGTATTCTTTTCACATAGATTGATAATTTGGGGCGTAGTATTGCAAATACTAAACTTTGGAGTATATTTTTGCAAATATCCATGATTCAAGGGGTATTATAGGGTTGGTTCTTTCCACACCAACCCCTCTTCATTGTGATAATCGGAGTGCCACCCAGATTGCTATGCAAATAACTCTAAAAAAAAAATGCAAGCTACATTAATTTGGGTGGATTTACATTTTCTGGAATAAAATTTAGGATAAAAATAATAAAAGATAGTCACTTTATTAGAAACAAAAATGGAGAAAGAAAAAATAATGTACGAAAGATTATCTTGGGAGCTAATGTACAAAAATACATCATCAATTGACGCGCCAAAGGCGAGGTTCGAAGGGTCATCACTGTAATAAACCCTTGCCCCCATTTTTGCCTTTCCCTCAATTTCTACCCTAAACTGATGGAATCACGGAGCAGAGAAGCGAGAATTAACCATGCCCAAGTTGGTAATTTCTATTGCTTTTACCCTTTTGTTCAAAATTCTGCGTGCAATTCGACCAATTTTGACCTAGGGAAATTGCAATTTCCCATCTTTACAAGATCTTTTTTGTTGAACTTTTGTATAGGTTGCTGTTAAACTTTGTATGTTGAACTTTTGTATAGGTTGCTGTTAAACTTTGTATTTATTGTCGAAAGAAATTCCCCTAATTTCCTAAGAAAAATCCCCGTATAGGTTGCTGTTAAACTTTGTATTTATTGTCGAAAGAAATTCCCCTAATTTCCTAAGAAAAATCCCCAATTTAAGCTCTTTCTTTCTTTGATTACGAAATTGATGGAGCAGAGGCGCCAGAATCACAATCCCAAAAGCTCTAATTTTTATATATTTCCCCCTTTTCAAAATTTTTCCGGCAACTCGATCAATTTTGAGCTCGGGTAGTTGGGATTTCCCTTCATGTCACCAAGCGTTTTTTTAAAAGGCTACATGGCACTTTAAATAAGGACATGTTTCATTTGATGACCAAATACATAAATTTTAACTAGTACACGCATAATGTGCTCTTACTTCTTTATTCAACAATCGCATAATGGTGTTGTTCTATGAGGAAGAGATGGCTTCTTGACTCCTATAATTCAATGGTGGGATGCTCTGCTCATTCCTGAAAAAGTTCATAGGATCGACCCTCCCCTTCACGATAGCTAGCTTCTCAAAATTACCCTTGAAATACCTCTCCCCCCACTGCCGAGCCTCAAAGTAGCTCGGCATCAGCCCTTCGGTCCTCCCCAAATCGATATCTTTGTAGTTGTAGTATGCTGTCCGCGGATTGCTTGAAACATATGGAGTCATAAAATCATACAGTTTCCTCATTGAATCCAAATGTCTCTTGCTCTCCTGTTCCTCTGCCCCGGACCAGCTCGTGTAATACTGAATGTTGTATAAGTTTCCTTTCCTGTGAGGGAACGCAATTGTCGATTCTGGGATCATGTCCATTATTCCTCCGAACGGTGACATTATCAGCAATATAGTGATGTTGTCCTCTTTGAGGTTTCTAAGAGCCCTCCATATCTCTCCCCATTGTTTCTCAGTGATTGGGTTTGTCACAAAGTCTGATTTTGCCTTGAATGAACTGTTGGACGCTGGTGTCCTGTTCAGTAATGCTTCAATCCCTTCACCTGACATACCGTACATGAAGAGGGCAGATTCTAACCAGTTCATCTCTGTGAAGTCCTCAGCTTGAAGGCCAAGCTCAGGGAAGCTCGTGTCTATTGCAGAGACGAACTGGCTTTTGTTTCCAAGGAAGAGGGAGATGAACTGAACTTGAATGTTCACATTCCATATGGACTCACTGTCGATTACGGGTATCACAACTGCTCGGAGAAAGATTTTATCATCCAATTTAGGAGCAATGTCTTGCCACCTGCTCACGTTGACAATTGCTCGTGTCAATTTAGCCTAAACATAATTAACTTCTGGGGGATCAAATTTGAACTTACCTTGTAACAAGATTAGTCGCATTTTGCCTTAAATTCCTGTGAACATTGAATGCAGTAACAACAGGAGGAACTTCAACCAGTTGAAGTTTGTAAGCTAAAACGATACCGAAACTGGCTGCTCCTCCGCCCCTTATGGCCCAAAACAAATCCTCTCCCATCGTCTGCCTGTCCAAAACCACTCCACTGGTGCCCAAAATCTTGGCATCGATAACATTATCGGCACCAGTGCCATATTTTCTCATCATTGTGCCAAATGCACCACCACTTAAGTGCCCACCAATCCCCATAGTTGGACATAGTCCTGCTGGAAAACCTAGAGTACCATTACTCTTGGTGAATACGTTATAGTAGACCTCACCAACGGTTGCTCCAGCTTGAACCCAAGCTGTTCGAGTCTTGGCATCGACATCGATGCTTCTGTAGTGTGCAAGATCAACGACCACAAACGGCCGATCATTGTCGTCGGATACATATGACATGCCTTCATAGTCATGACCACCGCTCCTTGCGCGGAGCTGTAGGCCATTCATGTACGCACATCTGATTGTTATGTTTACGTCGGATGTAGAGTTTGCTGTGACAATTAGTGAGGGCTTTTGATTGGCACATCTGATTGTTATGTTTACGTCGGATGTAGAGTTTGCTGTGACAATTAGTGAGGGCTTTTGATTGGTTTTGGAGACTAAGAAGCGCAAGTTTTGAACAGAGGATTGGAGTACGGATTCGTAGGAGGTGGAGTTTGAAGTGTAGATGAGGTCTGGAGAGATATGTTGTAGAAAGCAATCGATGAAGGATTTGAAGGGAGCGGTGTAAGAGGATTGTGCAAAAGACGAAGATGATAAGAAGAGAAAGGAGAGGATGGTGAGGATTGTTGAGGTTGATATCGCCATTTTGCTTGATAAGGGGTTTGTCTGATTGTGTTATGGAGATTGTACCGTGGGTTTATATAGAGATGATGAGAGTTCAGCAATTTAACTTAATTTGTACAAGTCACATGGCTCTAATTACTTGCTTACTCTTCCATCCCCCATCAGTTCAACAACTATCATAAATTAATATTCACTGTCACTCTTGTTCTTGTCACAACAGTTCAAACTTTTGTTCTTGCCAGATAAACCCCAGCAGCAGGTCGTCTGCCTGGTACGAAATTGACTTTGGATTGTCTTCTGAAAGAAGACAGCACCAGCGAAATGCAGAGGCAGGTTACTTATACTTGCCAGTACGGTTTCTTGATATATTTTGCTTCCTATGTGTTGGGGATTCAAAACAATCAATTCGAACACGTGCCCTTTCGGATCATGTGCTAAGAATTTAGCAAGCAGGAAAATCACCACAAATAAAAAAATAAATTGCAGGAAAGATAAACAAGAAAGAACACACCAGATTTAACGAGGTTCGACAACATGCCTACGCCCTCGGGAGCCACACCACATAATTCTTTGATTAATTGAAGAAGATTACAATGTCCACATATAGGTTTTTATCTTTCTGAGATCTCTCTAAAAGGATCCTCTCAAAACCCTCTTTTTCACGTGTTCTTATAACCCTAAAAACGTTTAGGTATATATATGATCCCAGCCCAAAACAGTTTCCCAAACAATTTAGGAAACTGGAAATCTCGTTCCCGGTCGACCGGGCCATGTGTTTCGGCCGACCGGCCAGAATGACAATTTCTGCAGGGTTTTGGTGCATGTTTACGGTCGACCGGATCAAGGCCCTCGGTCGACCGACCAGAGCTTTGATTTCTGCCTGTTTTCCTGCAGGCGTCATGATCGACCGGATCTCCTCCGTCAGTCGACCGACAAGCGACGGGACTGTTTTCTTCGTCTTTTTTATTCAGCTTTGGGTCTACACACTTAGACTAACACTATGGTATGCATGTTGAATTTCTTATGTATCACAAAGGATTATTTTTTTAGTAAGGTCACCAGTTGTTTACGTAGACACGCTATCTTACATTCCGTCTAAAGTAGCTATACGAAATGTAATAGTTAATTAGTATTGTGGAGCACGTGTTCACCAAAAAATAAAATAAAATAATATAATAAGAAATCGTCAAGTGATTATCACTTCTCCTACTTGGATTGGGTAGCTTTGTATCGGGGACAGTGTGAGCTGACAATTTCCCAAACTGATCCAAATTATTTTATAATCAGATCGATGCAGAGATTGCAGTATTGCACGCCACAGGCAGGACACTCCAACTAGCGCACTGAGGCATTTAGGCCTAAATCTCGTAAGATAATTGTAGGAAAAGAATTTCATAAGTTCAAGATTATTAGGTAAAGCTTGGGCCATGGATGAGTTGAGTAGGCATGAAACAAAGCGAAGAAATCTCAGCAGGGTTTGGTGCGATATTGAGAAAATGTTTTGAAGCGGTCGTATACTACAGAATAAGGGGGTGATGTCGTCGTCAAAAAAGAAGGATGATGGTCAATATTGCCTGCGTCTATATGTTTATTTCAAAACATTTTCTCATTCGGCTTGGTCTAGTGTAGACTTTGCATGAAATGACTACATAGTCTCATTGTTTTACGAGATTATAGGATTATACGGCCAATTCATGTTGATAAGGTCACATAGAGATTATATGGATAATTGATCGTTTTTACAGCAACTGAAAAAGGTGTGAACTTTTTATGCTAGTTATTTGGGCTTGTTGAAATGACGGAGAGGTTTTCCGAGGAAAATGAGTTCTTGATCGTGATACTCGACCCTTTCGGAGGTCGGATGGATGAGATACCGGAATCCGAAACTCCTTTTCCGCATAGAAATGGGAATCTGTCGCAGTACTTGGTGAAGAGGGATGTTGCTGAAGGAAGTGAACTCACGGGTAAGCATTTGAGTTGGATGGAGAGATTTTTATGAGTTCATGACTCCTTACGTTTCGAAAAATCCTAGAGCTGCTTATTATATATAACTATAGAGATTTGGATTTGGGAAGGACGGAAGGGGGGGAATAGTTATTTGACGGCAAATGTTTTGGGGAGGAGATATTTAAGGATAATTTTAGGAGGCTGGTTCTAGGGGTGGCAATTTATGACCCGACCTATTAACCCGATCCGACCCGACCCATTTATAATGGGTACGGATCAAATTATATGGGTCGGGTCATAAACGGGTCAACCCAAATTTACTCATTTATTAAATGGGTCAATTCCGGTTGACCTATTGACCCGTATAACAAAAATCCGGGTCCAACTATTCACACTCCCAAACAGTAACTTTGGGGGTGTGTGAGGACTAAATTGCCCTTCTCCCAAACCAAACCAGGCCAAGTCCAAAAGGGCATTTTCGACAATCCAACTCCCAAAGTTACTGTTTGGGAGTGGATATAGCAAACATGCAAAAATCCTGATCCGTGTAACAACCTTCGTTCCCTCACTCCCTCGTAAGCGCGCCGCTCTGGAGAAAAAAAAAAAGAAAAGCTGCAGAAGAAAAGAAAAACCCTAGATCCTCACGAAGCTCAAGCGACGAGCGGCCTAGATCCCATCACGAAGCTCGAGCGGTGAGCGGCTAACGGCGAGCGGCGGCAAGCGACAGCGAGCGGCGGCAAACGGCGAGCGGCAGTGATCGGCGAGCGGCAGCGATCCTCGAACCATAGTTCCTCTCTCTCCTCTCGAGCGCTCGAGTTCTCCTCTCTCCATCGAGCAGCCATAGTTCCTCCTCCCTCTCTCCAATCGAGCCCAGTTCCTCTTGAACAGAAGAATCAGATCTTCAATCGAGCTAATCACTGGATTTTGAGGTACACTCTTGGCTAGGGCTTTTTGATCTTTCGTTCTATCAATTTTGGGGTTTTTTTCATCCTATCTTTTAATTTTGGGGGTTTGTTGAAATTACAAATCACTGATTGTTAGAACTCTCAATCGAACTCGAGCCTTGTTGAGATTGAGCTTCTAAGCATCAGTTCAGATTTATTTGTGAATGCAAACCATCAAATTTGTTATCCTATTTTTGCCCCCTACTGTTTTTGTGATGAACAATGAATATCTTCTAAAATCACTATTTTTCAGTTGTTGTGCTCGGTAGAGGTGCGTTGGGTTTCTTCATTTTTTGTTTATTTATAAATTAAAAAAGCCGCATATAAATGTTGCATAGTCTATATGATTGAATAGCATTTGGGGTTATATGGGAGCCATTCTATTTGATATAGAAAAGTTAATCACATGTTGCAGTACTGTAAATGTTAATCATTTGGGCATATATAGAAAATTTAATTAAACATATGTGTTATTGTATCTCATGGGATTCAGAAACTTCTACTCGAAACAAGATTTTTCACTTTTCATAATGTATCCTCTCATAGCTTGTTTCTTCTAATTTCTCTGTGAAGATGCCTACTTGGTCAAATACAAACTACAGGTCACCAGTAGTTGAAATATTTTTTAAGTATAAAGTTGCATGTATCTGTGGTCTCCAAGCTCACTTGTTCTGCTAGTCATGAGAAGTTGCATGTATCTGTGGTCTGCATCCCCTCCCCCCAATACATGAACATCAAAGTTACATTTATTTTCCAAGCCCACTTGTTCTACTGGTCATGAGAAGTTGCATGTATCTGTGGTCTGCACCCCCCCCCCCCTCTGATAACTCGTCATGAGAAGTTGCATGTATCTGTGGTCTGCACCCCCCCGATAATAAGTGGTATAAATGATGTCTTTTTCTTCTGTAGTGGACCTGGGGACTTAGTTTCTCTAACTTACCTAGTAGCACTTAGAAAATTCACTGCAATTACCTGTCCATTTGACCAAGTAGGCATCTCACAATCAACTACTGGTGACCTGCAGTTTGTATTTTAGATACTGGTTTGAATATTTTTTAAGTGTTGCTTTGCTGAACTATATGCGGACTTAAGTTTCTTCATACTCAAATGTTAATTCTGTTTAGAATCAGTTAATTTGTGTTATCTGTTGAATTTTATTTAATTTTATTAATCTTATGTAGTTATGTAATTTTCATCACAGTTAATGGAGTCTAATTCTATAGCCGATAATGTAGAAGCAGATTCATCTAATGAAGAATTAGAAGACATGTCTAGTCCTGTTCAGAAAAAATCAAAAGCGATAATTGTTGGAAGTCGAAAAAGAAAATTAACGTCCAAAGCTTGGAAAATGTTTGACCTTGTTGAAGAGCCAGGTGGGAAACAATATTCAATATGTAAGAAGTGTGGAATCAAATATATTGCCGAAGGTAACCATGGGACAAAGAACATGTTAAGACACATGAAAATTTGTAAGAAAGCTACTAGAGAAGATATTGAGGGTCTATCTAACTCAAAAGATTCTATAACGAGTTCCTCAAGATTTAATTTTGACCCGGATAAGTTTAGGGAGATCTTAGTCTCGGCCATCATTATGCACGATTTGCCATTTCAATTTGTTGAGTATGAAGGTATTCGAGCTATCTTCTCTTTTCTTTGTGAGGATATAAAACACATATCAAGAAATACAGTTAAAGCCGATGTTCTTAAAATCTATGGAAGAGAGAAAAATAGGCTAAAAGAAGCTTTTGAATCGATTCCTGGTAGAATTAACTTGACTTCTGATTTGTGGACATCAATAGCCACCGACGGATATATTTGTCTCACGGCACATTACATTGATCAAGTATATAAAAGGCTCTCAAATTAGAAAACAAAAATTTTGGGAATGTGTCTCTCATGAATCTTTGGAGGTGAAGAAGAGTTTAAGGCAAGATGTTCCAACAAGATGGAATGCTACTTTTCTAATGCTTGAGAGTGCTTTATACTATCGTCGTGCATTTATACACATGCAATTGAGTGATTCCAACTACTCAAGACTTTGTCCATCTCAAGAAGAATGGGATAAGGCCGAAAAGGTTAAGAGGTTATTAGCCACTTTTTATAACGTCACTTGTCTTTTCTCCAGTACAAATTATTTAACGGCTAATATATGATTTCTTCAAGTATTCGTTGTGCAACGTACTTTAAAGAGTGGGATGAAAGATGATGATGAATATGTTAAGTTAATAGCAACCAAAATGTACAAGAAATTTGAAAAATATTGGAGTGAGTACAATGTTCTACTTGCTATTGCGTGCATCTTGGATCCCCGATACAAAATGCAATTTGTAGAGTTTTGCTATCATGGGTTATATGGACACAATTCTATGGAGCTTAAGAATGTGAAAGATAAGCTTTTCTCTCTCTTTAATGAGTATTCGAGCAATATGGATGGTAATAGAAGAAGAAACTTGGAGAAATCAAGCAAGGAGGGAACTTCTCGTGTGTATGATGACACATTTGATCAAGATTGCATTGATATCTTGAGGGTAATTTCTTTCTCAAGTAATTAGTATATCTCTTAGTTTTTTATTGTTTTTGCATGTATTTATATCTTGTATGTGTATAATTTCTTGCAACTTCCACATTGTGTTATATCTCTTAGTTTTTATTGTTTTTACATGTAAATTCTTGAGTTTCGGCACTCTGCAGCTGATGTTACTTCTTACTGTCGAACGAAATTTAGAACTATATAAAAAGTTTTTGCTGCCAAACGTTTGATGCATGATAGTACTATATAAAAGTTTCAATTAAGTTCACAAACTAATTGCGATTGTTCTGATTGAAGATCTGCTTTTTGTGTTTACCTGCTTTGAAACACATCTCATGTATGTGTGTTTATGTGGAAAAATCCATTCTATGTAATTTTGCATAATTCATAAATTTGGCATAATTCATAAATTTGGTTCTTACTACTTACTAGTGGTAAGCTTAGTAAACATCATTGTTTATGTCATAATTCATAAATTTGCATATGACTTAAATCAGAACTTTTGATAAATGTTGATTGGATAATTACATACTTGTTTATGTCTTATCTGTTAAGTTCGTAGACCTTTTTTGTTCTTGGTATTGTGTTTCCTTGCTTCTGATACTTTTAGTGTAGTTTACCATGAATGCATTGAACTTGATTGAAAATTCTGGGTTTTGGTTGCCTTTTGTTACTGATTTTGCTTCTGGGCAATAGAGGAAAATCTTGCAGAGAAAGCGTGTGATGTCTTAACCAGAACTTATGATAATTGTCAACCATACGATTATATACTTAGTTATGTCTTATGAGTTAAATTAGTTTCTAGAGAATTATGTTGACAATTCAGACATATTGGATAAATTTTTGCTTTGTTTGTTTTCTTGGTCTTAGAAGAAGTCCTTCTTACTAAAACAACTCTAGTTATTTTGTTTGTGTTCTTAGGTTGAGCAATATTCGATTGTACTTTTGTTTAAAATTATTTTGGTATGCATATATGGTCAGTGAAATTTTCAGTTACACATTTACGACATATCTCCATCTATGAGTTCCCATGACATTTCTGAACTAAGTTAAATTTGAAATATGATTGAGCTTTCAGAACATGTTTTTTTATGTTTAGGAATTCGACTCGTTTGAAAGTCAAGAAATTATTAGTTCTCAAAAGACCCAATTAGAACTTTATTTGGATGAACCAAGACTTGACCATGGTGCACAACTCGACATTCTTTCATTTTGGAAAACTAATGAGCATAGATACGCCGAGCTCTCTCTATTGGCAAGGGACATAATGGCGGTTCCTATTTCTACGGTTGTTTCGGATAGTACTTTCAGTGTAGGTGGGAGAATCCTTAACCAATATCGTAGCACTCTTAAGCCTAACAATGTGGAGGCTTTAGTTTGCACGTGTGATTGGTTATATGGTATCAAAGGTAGACAATTACTAATGTTATATTTTTAACGTTTTTTTCATCAAAATACATGTTATGAATTTGCTTATTGGTTTTTTTATTAATGATAGATGACATGCAACCAAAATTAGATGAGCTTTCTGAGGATATCATGCAATTAGATATTGGAGAATCTATGCCAACACAAGTATGAATCTCTCATACCTGAGGATATCATGCAATTAGATATTGGAGAATCTATGCCAACACAAGTATGAATCTCTCATACTATGACGCGGTAGCTGAAGGTAAGAACCTACTAGCTGTTAGATTCTTATGTCGTATCTTTAGACTTGTTCTGAAGTTTATGCTTACCAATGCCAGATATGCCTTAAAAAATGTTATACCACTAATTTATGACCTGATCATGTAACTGTGCTTGCGAAATCCTCATGCCCCTAAATTAATCAGCATTAACAAAAGGCAAATTCCAGGCCATTGATTTGCCAACACCTGACACACCGCAATTCGTATGCAGCACTATTTATTCAGAGATCATGCGAGTTGGTAGAAGAATGAATTAAAAACACTAAGAAGTTGCTTTGTGACTTGCTCTATTGATTACTCCCACAATTAAAGCTCCCAAAAGAGATTACTGGTGCTCATGAATCCAATTCCAGCACGATGATTTGGGACCATCCAGGGCCTTGAACAAATGACTGCCCCATTCCAGCACCAACCATTTGATTCTGCTACTGTTGTTGCTGCTGCAAGTGTTGCTGTTGTAGCTGCTGCTGGAGATGTTGATGCTGCTGTGACTGCTGAAGCTGCTGTTGAAGTTGGTGCTGCTGAAGCTGCTGTTGTTGTAGTTGTTGCTGCTGCTGTTGGAGTTGCTGTGGAGACTGCTGTTGGAGCTGCTGCTGTTGTAGTAGTTGTTGCTGCTGCTGTTGAAGTTTAGATTATTTTTGTCTAAAGAGCTGCATTGATTGTATTTTTGTTTGCCGATAGTTGCAATTCGTTGAAGTACATTTAAATACTGAATATGTCTTTGAAATAACTCCATGTTGTGAGTAGTGATAGTTTTTATCTAAAGAGCTTGCAAGAAGTGTTCTTTTGTGCTTGTATAAAAATTTTATTAGTTATATGTGTTAAGGATATGTCTTGTATTAGATAAACGGGTTATTCGGGTTATATGGGTCGGGTCAGGTAACCCATTTAATAATCGGGTGGGATCACATTGACCCATTTATTAAACGGGTCGGGTCGGGTCACACTTATACGGGTCGGGTCAAATTTTATATGAGTCGGGTCGGGTCGACCCGTTTGCCACCCCTAGCTGGTTCAGATGAAGTTTGAAGTTGATCCTGATAATTTCTTTAGGAATGAGCAAAGTGTACCTCCTCTTTTTCGTTCTGGTAAATGAGTTAAAAACTTTTTTGCTACTCTTGCCTATGACTACTCACTGGATGATTAAAATTTTGTGTTCTTTGCATACATACCCCTTAAATAATTGGTATTTGCAAAATTACCCTCCAAATCTCAGTGTTTGCAAAACTACCCCTCAAATCATCAATTATGAAAAAATTACACTCAAAGCAATAAATTATAATTTTATAAATAAAATAGTCAAGTTTTAGCACCAAGTTGATGATTTGTTGATTTTAAGGTATTTTCTCACAAAGTTTTATAACTTGAGAGGCAGTTTTGCAAATACTAAACTTTGGAGCATATTTTTGCAAATATCCATGATTTAAGGGGTATTATGCAAATGGCTCTAAAAGTTTTCAAGTTATATTAATTTGGGTACATTTACATTTTCCTGACTAAAATTTAGGATGTAAGTAATAACAGATTATCCATTTATTAGACACAAAAATGGAAAAGGAAAAAATAATGTACGAAAGAAAATCCTAGGTGCTAATGTAAAAAAATACATCATCAGTTGACGCGCCAAAAGCAAGGTTCGAAGGGTCATCATTGTAATAAACCCTAGCCCTAATTTTAACATGTCCCTCAATTTATACCCTAAATTGATGGAATCACAGAGCAGAGAAGCGAGAATTAACCTTGCCCAAGCTGGTAAGTTCTATTGCTCTTCCCCTTTTGTTCGAAATTCTGCGTGCAATTCAACCAATTTTGACCTAGGGTAATTGCAATTTCCCATTTTTACAAGATCTTTTTTGTTGAACTTTTGTATAGGTTGCTGTTGAACTTTGTATTTATTTTCGAAATAAATTCCCCTAATTTCCTAAGAAAAATCCCAATATAAAGCTCTTCCTTTCTTTGACTACCAAATCGATTGAGCAGAGGCGCCAGAATCACAATCCCAAAAGCTCTATTTTTTATTTAGTTTCCCCCTTTTCAAGATTTTTCCTGCAACTCGATCAATTTTGAGCTCGGCTAGTTGGAAATTCTCTTTGTATCACCGAGTTTTTTTTAAGGCTACATAGCGCTTTAAATAAGGACAGGTTTCATTTGATGACCAAATACAGAAACTTTAATGAGTACACACATAATGTGTTCTTATTTCTTTATTCAACAGTCGCACAATGGTGCTTTTCTATGAGGAAGAGAAGGCTTCCTAACTCATATAATACAATGGTGGGATGCTCTGCTCATTCCTGAAAAAGTTCATAGGATCGACCCTCCCCTTCACAACTGCTAGCTTCTCAAAATTACCCTTGAAATACCTCTCCCCCCACTGCCGAGCTTCAAAGTAGCTCGGCATCAGCCCTTCGGTCCTCCCCAAATCGATATCTTTGAAGTTGTAGTATGCTGTCCGCGGATTGCTTGAAACATATGGAGTCATAAAATCATACAGTTTCCTCATTGAATCCAAATGTCTCTCGCTCTCCTGTTCATCTGTCCCAGACCAACTCGATAAATACTGAATGATGTATAAGTTTCCTTTCCTGTGAGGGAACGGGATTGTTGATTCTAGGATCATGTCCATTATTCCCCCGAATGGTTCCATTATCAGCAATATAGTGATGTTGTCCTCTTTGAGGTTTTTAAGAGCCCTCCATATCTCTCCCCATTGTTTCTCAGTGATCGGGTTTGTCACAAAGTCCGATTTTCCCTTGAATGAACTGTTGGACGCTGGTGTCCTGTTCAGTAATGCTTCGATCCCTTCACCTGACATACCGTACATGAAGAGGGCAGATTCTAACCAGTTCATCTCTGTGGAGTCCTTAGCTTGAAGGCCAAGCTCGGGGAAGCTCGTGTCTATTGCGGAGACGAACTGGCTTTTGTTTCCAAGGAAGAGGGAGGTGAACTGAACTTGAATGTTCACATTCCATATGGACTCACTGTCGATTACGGGTTGCACAACGGCTCGGAGAAAGATATTCTCATCCAATTTAGGAGCAATGTCTTGCCACCTGCTCACGTTGACAATTGCTCGTGTCAATTTAGCCTAAACATAATTAATTTCTGGGCGATCAAATTTGAACTTACCTTGTAACAAGATTAGTCGCATTCTGCCTTAAATTCCTGGAAACATTGAATACAGTAACAACAGGAGGAACTTCAACCAGTTGAAGTTTGTAAGCCAAAACGATACCGAAACTGGCTGCTCCTCCGCCCCTTACGGCCCAAAACAGATCCTCCCCCATCGTCCGCCTGTCCAAAACCACTCCGCTGGTGCCCAAAATCTTGGCATCGATAACATTATCAGCAGCAGTACCAAATTTTCTCGTCATTGCACCATATCCACCACCACTTAATTGCCCACCAATCCCAACAGTTGGACATTCTCCTGCTGGAAAACCTAGTGTACCATCACTCTTGGTGAACACGTTATAGTAGACCTCGCCAAGAGTTGCTCCAGATTGAACCCAAGCTGTTCGAGTCTTGGCATCGACATCGATGCTTCTGTAATGTGCAAGATCAACGACCACAAACGGCCGTTCTTTGTCGTCGGATACATATGACATGCCCTCATAGTCATGACCACCGCTCCTTGCGCGTAGCTGTAGGCCACACATGTACGCACATCTGATTGTTATGCTTACGTCGGATGTAGAGTCTGCTGTGACAATTATTGAGGGCTTTTGATTGGTTTTGGAGACTAAGAAACGCAAGTTTTGAGCAGAGGATTGGAGGACGGATTCGTAGGAGGTGGAGTTTGAAGTGTAGATGAGGTCTGGAGAGATGCGTTGTAGAAAGCAATCGATGAAGGATTTGAAGGGAGCAGGGTAAGAGGATTGCGCAAAAGATGAAGATGATAAGAAGAGGAAGGAGAGGATGGTGAGGATTGTTGAGGTTGATATCGCCATTTTGCTCGGTAAGGCATGATGAGAGTTCAGCAATTTAACTTAATTTATGCAAGTCGCATGGCTCTAATTACTTGCTTAACCCTTCCATCTACTCTCAGTTCAACAACTATCATAAATTAATATTCACTGTCACTATTGTTCTTGTCACAACTTTTCAACAACTGATTAATAAATTAATATTCGATCTTGTTCTTGCCAGATAAACCGCAGCAGCAGGTCATCTACCTAGCACAGATTTGACTTTGGATTGTCTTCTGAAAGAAGACAGCTCCAGCGAAGTGCAGAGGCAGGTTACTTATACTTGCAAGTCAGAGATATCGATAATTTTCTTGATATATTTTGCTTCCTATGGTATGCATGCTGAATTTCTTATATATCACAAAGGATTTTTTTTTAAGTAAGGTTACCAGTTGTTCAAGTAGACACGGTATCTTACATTTCTTCAAAAGTAGCTAAACGATTGCCTTGGCTTGGAGGGCCATGGAATTTTCCTGTGGCGGGCTCACTTTGACCAGTAGAAGATGAAAAGCCCATGGAAATAAAATCCATACCTTCAACCAGTGGCTGTGGATAAAAAGAGAAGAAAGTGAGGGAGGATAGTGATTAGATAGATTATGACATTATGATTATGAGCTTGAAAAAGGATAGAGCGTGCAATCTAATTTGTAAGTAATATGTTGCATTTGCACCTTATCTGTGATCATTACCTTTTAAATGTGATATATGACACTTATATGTGACATTTGTATCTAATTTGTATTGTTTAAGTTTCCTATTTATTTGTAGTTTGTATGTGATATTATCTTGTTATATGAGATTATTTCCAATTAAATGTGATATTATCTTGTTATATGTGATAAGTGTCTTCTACATGTGATATATTCTAATCATATGTGACGTTTGTTACCCATGTGTGACATTTGTCCCTGATTTCTGACAGTTGTAGTTAATGTGTGAGTTTATCTTCTTGTAAGTGATTATTGCCATTTATCTATAACATTTGTATCTAATATGTTATACTTTATTGATTGAATGTGGCCTTTTTTTGAAGCTATGGTATTATGAGATTTCTAACATCAAAGAGCCGGCAAGAGTAGATGAATCCAAGCCACCAATGATAAATTAGACATTGGAGGGTAAGAAGGTGGGTTCGGTGCGGACTACAATGATTTTGAAGAAATCGGAAGCCGCAATCCACATCTTACCGGAGCAAGATGTGGCGAGGTATGTTCATGAGGAGATAAAGCTCAGGCCTACAACGGTGAAGGCTAAAGTTGAGGAGGAAGTTACGGGTGAAAAATCATTGGGGAAGAAAAGAGTCCAAAAAGAGGTAATGTTGATGATTTAGATGTGTCATCCTCTTATTTGTGACTTTTGCTCACTATCAGTTTATTGTTAATGTAGAACGAAGCTTATGAAAAGTTGGTGATGTTGAATGAAGCCTATGAGCAAGCACTTGTTGCTCGCGGCGTTGATATTTTGGCTATTAAAACCGAAACTGAGAAAAAATTTGCTGAGGAGAAACGTATAAGGCAAAACAAAGGAGAGGTAATAGCCTATGTCCTGTGTCACATGAGGGGAAAAAAATTATTGAGAAAATATTTGCTGAATTGAAATTGGTTATTGTTTTTACATCTATGCAGCCACAAATAGATGAGGCATTGAGTGAAGGTGATCAAACCCGAGAGATGGACATTGAACTGGAGGAGGTAACTCTCCTTTGTGATATTTGCTTATTGCATGTGACATTTACAGCGTATTTGTGATAGTTCCCTTTGGTATGTGACAATTGTCTACCTATTGTGACATTCATATGTCTCTTGTGACATTTTGTCTAATAATGTGACGTAAACAGTTTAGTGTGATGTTTGGTTATTATTTGTGATAAATAAATATTTCCTGTTATATATATTCATGTCTTATTTCTGTGATATATATTCATTAACTGTGAGTGGTATACAGGCTAAAGTTGAGGCAGAGAAAGAAGAAGGGAAGGAAGAGGAGGGAGGCAAAGAAGGTGATCAAACCCAGGCCATGGGCAGTGAACTGGAGGAGGTAACTCTCCTTTGTGATATTTGCTTATTGCATGTGATATTTACTGATTATTTGTGATAGTTCCCTTTGGTATGCGACAATTGTCTACCTATTGTGACATTCATATGTCTCTTGTGACATTTTGTCTAATAATGTGACGTAAACAGTTTACATGTGATGTTTGGTTATTATTTGTGATATATGAATATTTTCTGTGATATATATTCATTAACTGTGATCTTTATACAGCTTAAAGAGGTAAAAGTTGCTGAGGATGTTCCCAAAAAGGAGAAGGGAAGGAAGAGGAGGGAGGAAAGCGATGATACTTTAAAAACATTTGTCAGTGGGCTACGGGCAAAGAGCCAAAGAACAACAAAGAAGCCCAAGTTCTTAGAATCTCCCTTCCAAACTGAATTGCCTAAGAAGGGAAGGAAAGGGAAGAAAGGTGTCGTTGTGGTGGAAGATGATGACGACAAGGGGGAGAAGGATGAGGAGAAGCCACTTGCAATTTCACATCTCGGTAGGAGGACATCTGTTGCAGAGCTATGGAAAAGGAAAAAAAGTTATTGGAGATGTTGAATATGGGCATTCCTTCTTCACAAGACTTTGATGTCAGGCTACCGGGAACAATCGACGAAGGCTTTTACCATAATTTCACCGTTGAGGACATTCTCGATGTGTCGGATGATGAAAACAAGTGGCTTCGACATTTTCTTTCATTAAAAGTTAACAAGTAAGTATAAGTGTTATTCTGTGATATTTATATTAGGTTTGTGATATTAAATGTTATTCTTGTGACATATAGTGTTTTCCTGTGACATTCAGTATTTGTATGTGACATTTAATATTTGTTTGTGACATTTAGTGTTTTCCTGTGACATCTAGTGTTTTCTGTGACATTCAGTGTTTGTATGTGATATTTAGTGTTTTCCTGTGACATATAGTGTTTTCATGTGACATTTAGTGTTTGTTTGGGACCCTTAGTGTTTTCATGTGATATTTAGTGTTTTTCTGTGACGTTCAGTATATGTATATGCCATTTAGTGTTTTTTGTGACATATAGTGTTTTCCTGTGTCATTTAGTGTTTGTATGTGATATTTAGTGTTTTCCTGTGACGTATAGTGTTTTCGTGTGACATTTATTATTTTTCTGTGACATTTCGTATTTTCTTGTGACAGTTTGGTGTTGATTAGAATATGTCGCTTATACATTGATTGTCTTCTACATTTTGTAGTCGGAGAGTTTTTGAGGTTGAAGACCACACTATATGCAGATATGATATGCTACATCTTCTACGTGGTGGAAGATTAAACAGATATGATATGCTACATCTTCTACGTGGTGGAAGATTAAAGGATGAGGTTAGTTTTTGTTTAAGTTGCGGTGTTAATCAAGTTTTGCACAATTACAATAACTTATTACATTTGCAATCATCAGATCGTTGAAGCTCTGGTCGCAAGACTTCGAACATGGCTCAAGCTGCCAGAAAATGCCTATGTCGAAAGAAAATACGCTATTGTCACGTCATATAAGGTCATAATACAATTTGAGTTTGTAGGCATCAAAAATTGCCTATAGGTCTCCACGAACGGCTCAGTGTTAAAGAGCGACGATGAACGTCACTATCCGATCCACAGGAGTCCAATTGACGTCGACGAACGATTAAAGTGAATCGACGAGCTACGTGAGCTGATAGGATTTCGGAACAACGAAGACCCGGACCAATCGGGAACCCGGTACTGTTCACAAAAAAGGACAACGTCCTTCGTGCCTCGACCACTCTACAGATAATCCAACCACCAGAACGGATCGAACTCTTCGTCAGGCATCCAACGCACCCGGAATCACTCAAATCCGAGTCCGACCCCAGAGGTGTCTCCAGAATGTGGAGACACCCCAGAGGTGTCTCCAGAATTCGGAGACACCCCAGAGGTGTCTTCAGAATTCGGAGACACCCCAGAGGTATCTCCAAAATGTGAAGACACCCCAGAGGTGTCTCCAGAATTCGGAGACACCCCAGAGGTGTCTCCAAAATGTGGAGACACCCCAGAGGTGTCTCCAAAATTCGGAGACACCCCAGAGGTGTCTTCAGAATTCGGAGACACCCCAGAGGTATCTCCAAAATGTGAAGACACCCCAGAGGTGTCTCCAGAATTCGGAGACACCCTAAAGGTGTCTCCAAAATTCGGAGACACCCCAGAGGTGTCTCCAGAATGTGGAGACACCCCAGAGGTGTCGTGTCTCCAGAATGTGGAGACACCCCAGAGGTGTCTCCAGAATGTGGAGACACCCCAGAGGTGTCTCCATAATTCGGAGACACCCTAGAGGTGTCTCCATAATTCGGAGACACCCCAGAGGTGTCTCCAGAATGTGGAGACACCCCAGAGGTGTCTCCAGAATTCGGAGACACCCCAGAGGTGTCTCCAGAATTCGGAGACACCCCAAAGGTGTCTCCAGAATTCGGAGACACCCCAGAGGTGTCTCGGAATTGTGGAGACACCCTAGGGGTGTCTAGGCTTTTCCTAGACACCCTACACCCCTCTTGCCTATAAATAGTGACCCTTGGCCTCACTTTTTGCAGATCTGGAATTTTGGAGAGAAAGAGGCGAAGCCCTGCTGCAGTGAAGAGTGATCGAGCACTTTAGGGGAATTCTTCATCAGATCTTCATCACCCGTGTGTCCGTTCCTTAGTATTAGCCCTTGGCGTTAATACTAAGAAGAGCTAATATCTCGCTTTAGCCGAGATAAACGCTTCAAAGCTTCTAGATCTCTCGCGGATCGACGAAGCTCTGTCCGATTTTTCTGGATCAGAAGTTCCTAGATCCCCTCGCGGATTGACGAAGCTCTGTCCGATTGATCCGGACCAGATCTGATTGCCAGGTAGTCCACGGATATCAACGTCCCCGTCACAGGCCAAAGACCCACGCAAGCAAGAGACCGCAAAACAGGATCTTGTGTTTATTTTCGAAAAGTTGTAATTTTTATTCTTTGTTATTTGAATTCATTTGTAACGATTGAAGTTTAATGAAATCAATGATGAAGGTAACTTTTTCCGAAAACAAGCCCCTGATATATTGACTGCTTGGTTACTTAACATCAACATAAAGTATATGAAATTTGATGTTAAGTATAATTGATATCATGTTTAGTGTAAATCGTTTGCTTTGAAGATTAATTCATATCATCATAATTTTAATTCACTTCATGTTATATTTAATCCATTTCCTATCAATTCCAGACTGTACTAGTTAACTCTATGTTACTTCTTGTTAATTTTAATTGTAAGTAAATAACTGTTAAATCTATTTCACTTCCTAATAATTATAATGAATCTTCTGTTATGTTTCAGATATGAACACGTCACCTCTAATGTTGTTGAGCCCTTCAACAAGTAGATACATTAGGCTAAATTGCTATGAATACTACAAATGGTAGAGTACGTGCGTAAGCAAATTATGGTTCACATGAATAATCGACGAGACATGGCTGAAAATTAGAATGAATTTCTTTTCCCAAAGTTGAGCTTGTCCTTAAAGAGAACATAGAAAATGAGCACCCAGTGGATGCACATCAATCTCATAAATGATTATTTGATGTACAATCACATAAAACTTGCCAAGTAGATTTGGAGCATAACACATGCACGTGCTGTGCGTGAGACATAACTCGTATTCCTTGTAAATATGCATGTACAGCTATTATGTTTATAAAGAAACATGTTTATCAATTCTGTGATTGCTTTATGACGGTTGAAGCTTTTAAATAGTTACGAGACAATTCTTTACCCCATCCCTAATTATGAGAAGTGTAACGTACCACGAGATAAGATCCAGATCTTACCACCACTAACAACAAAAAGGAAATTGAGAAATACGACTAGACGGATCAATAATAGAGCTATTTATACACGACCAGTTAAATGCTCCTGATGCCATATGGAAGGTCACAACCGTGCAACATGTAACAAACCTATTGTTGATTAAGTTTGTAGGTTGTTAAGCTTTTGCTTGTATAGTTACAAACTATGTGGTTTTTGTAAGTCATTGTTTAAAATGGGCTCCAGTGCAGCCCACCATAGTCCATAGCCATGCTCGCACACCATCAATGAGTCCTCCCTCAACCTGCAGGCTACGGCTAGGATTCCCGACATACAGCTGGTCAGTCATAGCCGAACTGGCGAGCAAAGCGGCAAGGGAGATAAGGCTCTATGTGGCATTGATTCTTCACCCGGAGGACAAGATACCCAACGCGGATGTTCACTAACCAGCGGAAGCTACCAACGTCGAGAACGGTCCGGTCACTTCTAGGTTTCTCCTCGTCGATCAACACGTCACCATAGCGACCCGAAAAATGAGGGAAACACTTGAAGAACTCCCAGCTCTTACGGACTCGAAGCTCTCGTTGAACATCACTGAATTTGTTCCCGAGCCATCTGCTCTGCTCCAATAGCTGCATGAAAGGAACGGGGACATCAACAACGATGGGCGCCATCAGATATGCGTAAGGGAGCTCAACCTTCGGACAAACCAGCTCAGCTGATGGTTCAGAACCCATATGTGTGAAACTGCTGACTAGACTCCTGAGCCCGCAATGGATGCCAGCAACCATTGCTGGGAGCAGGGAAAGCTCTCTCCCGTAGGCTAGCTGAACTGCAGGGAAGAGCACCTCGATGGGTAGAGCATCTGAAGGCTGGTGCGGGACAACACACTTCTTCAACCAAAGGGCAAGGTAGCCTGCTAGTAGAGTCTGGGGCCCAATGGACTTCTGTGCACGGCGGAGGAAAAAACGAAACTTGGTCCCCGCAGGAAAAGCTCCCTCAGCACTGCCGATGGTGTAGGAACGAGCCTCAGCCTTCTCCAACAACTCATTAACGGCGGAAGGGGTCAACACGTCTAATTCACGAATGGGCGTACTAGAATCACCATCCAAGTTCTGGAACAAGTAGTTGGCAAACTGCTTCAAGCTAACCTGCCTCTTTCTTTTCGCTTGAAGAGAAACTTGGATCAAGGAAGTATGATAGTGGCAAGTAAGATCCCAGAGAGTGTCATACATATCGGGAGTATCTTTCTTCATCCACTCCAGCTACTGGTTCGAGGAAAAATACTCCTGATAGGGACAATCCCCCATCGGAAGACCCGAAACATAATGCATCTCATGCAAGGCCAACCCTAACTCACCACCACTGGTCAGAAAGGTGTTGCTGTCAGGCATGTAGGTCTCCAGCAAAGCCAAGAAATGGCGACAGCTGACTGGGATTCCGTACATGGTGGCTCGTATAGGCGCATACAACCCACTACTCTTCAAATCCCTCTCCCAGCGCGCTAAGACAAAACTAGTCATGCGTGCCCACCACCCCTTGGCTAGTGAGGAAGCCCAACCATAGCATCTGTATTCGGGTGAAGGTAACCTGCAGCTGCTGACACCTCGCCTGGGGGTGCAGTGTCAAGGCCCATGATCCCTGGTCGAAGGCCACGAACATCATGATACCCGTTAGAGCTGGGAGTCTTGTGGTGAGTGGCATACCCGCACTGGACTCTCTCACCATCTTCAGTAAGATGCCAAGACATCAGCCGCTCCACGGCCTGTCCCTTCAAGTGACTGAAAGAATACTGTCGTGGAATGGAGGGAATATAAAAGACAGCCCCTTCGCTGAGGGTCAACCAGTGTTCCTCGCCAAGGGTCAACGTAGCAGGATCCCCGACATGGTCTCCAAACAAGAAACTCGGCTTCTTTAAAGCCTGAGTGGAGGTAGAATCCGCAGTGAAGGGGGCATCTGTAATGAGCTGGCGCAAGCAATGACGCCCTCATTCCCGTATCAGACGA